AGATAGCACAATCCCCTGCGAGCGAGAAATGCTAGATGAAACACTCTATGTAAGATTTAATAGATGGCAGGGCTACCCTCGGGCGGGCAGCGCATATCAACCGGGCAATCAATACTTGTCTTTGGTAGCTCCCCCCCCACACACACACCTCCAGCCAACACAAGCGACAGTCCCCCCCCCCACACACAACAGCACACTCCCCAACACACACACAATCCGCTCCACCCCAAAACACAAACATCCCTCCTCACCCAACACACACAGACAACCGTCCACCCAACGCCGCAACGCAAGACAGTCCCCCTTCTCCACACACTCACAAACACTCCCCCGCCGCCCCCGCCCCCGCCCCCGCCAGGGTTCAGTAGAGATTGATGCGCTTCGTGATGCGTTCGCGACACATGTGGCAGGTCTTGAGCGTGAGCGCGCACGGCTGGCACGCGCCGTGCCCGCACAAGAACGCGATGTTTCGCTTGCGCTCCATGCAGATCGAGCAGACGATGTGTTCCTCCATCTCCTGCATGCGGCTCACCAGCTCCTCGATCTGTCGCTCGGTGATGTTACGCTGACCCGCCGCCGCCGCCGCCGCGACCACCACCTGACCACCTACAGCAATAACAACAACAACAACATCATAAATAACAACAACAACAACAACAACGCAACTGTAAATAACAACGACAACGACACAATTGTAAACAACAACGACAACGACGCAATTGTAAATAACAACAACAATGACGCAATTGTAAACAGCAACGACAACAACGACACTGTAAACAATGACATCACTGTAAACAACAATGCCACTGTAAACAATGACGTCACTGTAAACAACAACAACAACAATGACTGCAACAGCAACAATAATGTCATCATCATCATCAACAATAAAAAATATCACCAACCAGGACAAGAACAACAATAACATAAACAAAAACCGCAGCGACAGCATCACAACGACCACAAATAAAAAACAACAAAAATGAAGACAATGTTATCAATAAGTCTCCCTCCACTAGGGCCGAATAGGAGATATTACCTGTGTCTAGCTTAGTAGCGATGGGACTTTGACATGTCATACAGCGCTTCATTCTGATGCAGCACTCGTCACAAGCCACCCGATGTTCACACGGCTTAAACGTCACCAGGTGGCGTGGCTCGTCACATATCATACACAACAAAATCTCCTCTGGTGGCAACGTGTCAGTTGCCATGGTAGCGGACGAGGGGCACGGTGCACTGAAAGATAAAGAGAAATAAACAATAAGAACTATGATCCAGGTTAAATCACATCATTTGCTTCGTAGCATATATTTCGACACCATGTTGTTTCCTATATATATTTTCCTATAATATGATTGACTGGACCATTCATGCGTTACATTGATAACAGTTGCAAAGACCACATAGTATTAGTTAGAGTGCAATTAAATGGCAGTAATGGTATTTCTAACATGTTGTTGGACAATTCAAATCTTATTTTGTCGAGGTTACAAGTAGTAATATAAAAATATTGAAAACGTTTACAATATTTGTGCGCTGCTTAAACATCTGATTTATGATGGTTTTTGTTCAAATGTTTCTGCATTTCCTAGTTTTGATAAATGCCTTGCTATGCATGTTGGTGAATACCCACGAAACGCAGCAATGCTGTGATAATGAACATTTTTTATACAACAAATTTAGTATCATCACCATCACTTACACTTTATTAAGACCAATGATTTATTTAATTCAGTTATCAAACAGCTAAGAAGAGGGATAAAAAGTCATGAAAATATAATAAGTCAACAAATCAATAAATTTCAAACAAGTGGTTTCAGTTTTTCAAGCCATAGAGAAACTCAGAACTGAACTAACATCAAAATTGAGATGATATAGACTGTGAAAGTGGCTTATATAATATATTGTATATATATATTGTACAACAGGCTTCTTAAACTGACGCGCAACTTATATAACACACATCTGCCCACACAGGGTTCATAGTAGTAAGACACG